TCGGCCTCCTGGGTTCTGTTCTCCATTTTCAAACTCTTTATGTTAGTTTTTCATGCCAAAATACATCGATACATAAAAAAATTCATTTTTGCGAAAAGCTGAGAAAATTTTCGACAAAATCTGTGGTTTCAAATTTTCTTTCATTATTTTTAGTGGATGGTAATTATAATTGAAGAAAAAAAAATTCAAGTTTTAATATCGCGGCCAATAATAGAGTTAGAGACGTTTTAGGACTCATTTTTCTCTCTTTGGACTATACTTTACGATGAAAAGTAGAAAAATGCCTCTAAAATTTTGGGGCAATTTTTCGTATACAGAATTGGCGGATTCGCTCATTGAGATATTTTCTAAATAATTTGCTTACCTCCAATTTTCCAATTTTTTTTTACTGCATTTTTCTTTTATTTTCATCAACGAAATTAAACCAAAAAAAGTGAAAAATCTGACCCAAGTAAATTTTAGAGAAAATTTCTCAAAATAGAATAATTTGTATAGAAAAATTGAATTCTATTCATTTGTTCTACAGAATATTTTCAAACGAACATTCACGATAGAATAACAAAAAAATATATTATTCATGAATCACATGGTCTAATTTTCATCAGAAAAAATGAGGGGAAGTGTGAGTGAGAGAGAGGAAGAGGGAGAGAGAGAGAGGGGGATGGAGAGAGGGAGAGCGAATGTTTGACGAAAAACCTCAAATGATTCTTTATGTCATTAGGCCCGAAAAAACGCGAAAAATCGCGGTGTTCGGGCCCAACGACATAAAATAGCGTATATCACACGGCGATAAAAGCATTATCTGGCGTATGTAGCATTATAATCCGAGCCGAAGGCAAGGATTATAGTCACATTCATCAGATAATACTTTTATCGCCTGATGACATAATATACTAATTTTCTCATATTCATTCCGTGGTGGTTCCGCATTCCCATGCACGCACGCGCAAACAGTCAGGAAATCACTCCAATGACTGGGAACGGGACTAAAGGTACTCAATCGCCAAAGGTACTCAATCACGGAGCCTGGCTTGGGATTGGAACTAAAGATTTGCATTTAACTTCCAATCTACTGGAGATATGTTCGAAAGATCAAGATAAAATTTGTAGGAAATGTTGTTATGAAAAGTATGGAAAAAAAAATGAATCCATCGATGGGATTTTAAGTTACAAGTAGTGATGTGTAGTAAATTCACTCTCAATGAAAAAGAACGCTAGGGAGAAAAAAAAAGTATTTTTCAAATTATGAATATTCAGAGAAAAAATATTAATTTCAATTTTCCGATAGAAAAAAAAATTTCTATCAAATCTTCAAGCGGCTGTGGGAGATAAACGGTCGCAAATGGGTGTGAAGTGACCTACACTGTTTGTAGAGAATTTAAAGCTCTATGATTGTGTATACCATGTTTTTTTCCGTATTTTGCGTAGTTGAGGAATTATTTCGGAAAAACCGTTTTCAAGGGTAGTTTTTAGGTATTTTCCACCCCCATACAAACATCGGGAACATTAAACCCCCCTACATAGTTTCCTACGAATGAGGTACAAACTCTGTAAAAAAAAATCCAGGTGTTTAACAACACATTGATATCTGTGCCTCGTGTTTCTTGGACTACAATATATTACGATTTATTATCGCTCTAGTGCTTCCTCCACTCCTTCCACTCACGAGTCTGGAATGTAAACACTTCAATATGTTCTTAGATGCGTCATTGTTTTGCATTCCTGCGAACTCAAAAAGGTAAACTACGGTGAGTCTAGATATAGTCCATAAGCTGGGGGGTCATTTGCATATATTTCATGTAAAAGAATTTTTTTTATTGGATTCCATGGTTTTTGAGCCGCTAAATCCGAATATCGAGGTCTCCGGTTCGAATTCATGCGCAGTTGTTTCTTATTAACAATTTATTTAAAAACAATTAAAAATTCTACTTTTTCGATCGGGAATAATTTTTTCTGTAAAAAACATGTGATTTAAGGGGGGGGGGGGTAAGTCCTGAAACATTTTGCGATATTCTCGACGGTTCTGTTAATAAAAATTCATTGAAAAACAATTTTACATGGTATTTTCGACAATGTTGATAAAAAATCATTTTCTTCGTGATTTGCATTATTTTGTGAGTCATTTATATGGTCTATGATCTATTAACACCAACACCCACTAATTTCATACCAGATTGTTTATTTTTTACATCATTTGTTTAATGCTTTCAATTTACAGAAAAAAATTTTTTGTCTTCAAAACAGGAAATTTTTCATTTTTTTTAACAAATGATGTAAAAAATAAACAATCTGGTATGAAATTAGTGGGTGTTGGTGTTAATAGATCATAGACCATATAAATGACTCACAAAATAATGCAAATCACGAAGAAAATGATTTTTTATCAACATTGTCGAAAATACCATGTAAAATTGTTTTTCAATGAATTTTTATTAACAGAACCGTCGAGAATATCGCAAAATGTTTTAGGACTTCCCCCCCCCCCCTTAAATCACATGTATTTTAGAGGAAAAATTTTTCCCGGTCGAAAAAATTGAATTTTCAATTGTTTATAAATAAATTGTTAATAACAAACAACTGCGCATGAATTCGAACCGGAGACCTCGATATTCGGATTCAGCGGCTCAAAAAACAGAATATAATGAAAAAAATTTTTTCATACAAAATGTATGCAAATCACCCCCCAGCTTATGGACTAATATGTAAAAAGTAAATTCAGTTGGTGATCGCCACATGTGCCGAAAGAAAAAAATTGTACATTATAGTCAATCCTCTTTGGTCCCCCACGTGCAAGATTGCCTTCCGAGCCAAATGACGAGGTGTGTATATTAATTTACGTGTGGAGGGACTTGAAAAACGCTAATGTCGTGGCGCCAAACGCCACAAAAATGGGCTTTTTCATGTCCCGTAAAACGAAAAGGAATTTTCCAATGGGGGGAGCCCCACCGGAATCACTGGACGCCGGAGAACCGTTCAGGGTTCTCCCGCGCTTTGAAAATTCATTCCTCCGCTTCTTAATGCGATTAAGGAATGAAAGCGCTGTCATTTATTGAAAATATAATTATAGATGGATCGGCGTTGGTTTCATATCTTCATCTCAATTGCGGGGGGAGAAATGAGTTTTCCAATGGGGGCAGCCCTTCCGGGCTTACTCGACGCCGGAGACCGTTCGGTGTTCGCCCGCGCCATGAAAATTCATTCTTGTGCTCCTCATTCAGATTACAGAATGAAGCGGCTCTCATTCATCGAAAATATGATTCTCGATTGGTTCATCTCAATTAAGGAGGAGAGAAATGAATTTTTGAATGAGAAAAACTTGTCCGAAGTTACTACGCGCTTTGAAAATTCATTCCTCCGCTCCTAATTGAGATTAAGGAATGAAATCGGTGTCATTTATTGAAAATATAATTCTCCATCGATACGCGTTAGTTTCATGTCTTCATCTTAATTACGGGGGGAGAAATGAATTTTCCAATGGGAGGGGCCCTTCCAGGCTTACTCGACGCCGGAGACCGTTCGGTGTTCCCCCGCGCCGTAAAAATTCATTCTTGTGCTCCTCATTGAGATTACACAATGAAGCGGCTCTCATTCATCGAAAATATAATTCTCGATTGGTTCATCTCAATTAGGGAGGCGAGAAATGAATTGTTGAATGAGAAGAACTTGTCCGAAATTACTCCGTGCTTTGAAAATTCATTCCTCCGCTCCTAATTGAGATTAAGGGATGAAAAAATGGCAGTTCGACGGAGAATTAAATTCCCCATCAACTAACCCTCTTTCATCCCTTAAGCTCTGTAAAAAATGGACGAAACTGTCATGGAAATCACAGCGCAGTAAGAAAAATGATTGTTTTGCGGCGCACAGTGACTCCCGGTAATTAAAAATTCACCTCTCCCCTCCTAATTGAGATTAAGGGATGAAAAAAAAGCAGTTCGACAGAGAATTAAATTCTCCATCAATTAATCCTCTTTTATCTCTTAATCTCTGTAACAAAAAAATTAAAACTGCCATGAAAGTCGGGGGCCAGTAAGAAAAATAATTTTTTCGCGGCGCACACTAACTTTTCACCATTCGCCCGCGAATTAAAAATTCACCTCTCCCCTCCTAATTGAGATTAAGGGATGAAAAAATGGCAGTTCAACGGAGAATTAAATTCCCTGTCAATTAACCCTCTTTCATCCCTTAATCTCTGTAACAAAAAAATAAGTTGAAAATTGCCCCTGCATCCATATATAGTATGGTTTTTTTGCTAATAGATTAGCAATATGCTTCCGAACGGTCATTTTGCATACTAATTTTGTTTTTATTTTTCTATAATCATGATTGTTCACTTCTACAGTTTCGTATTCCATGTTATTGTTTTCTATGGAATTTTTCTTATTTCTCTTATTGATTACGATCAATCATATTACCAAATCGGTTGTAATAATTAATCATTTTTTTGTATACTCTTTTAGGTTTTCACGACTTATTCTCATTTCTCATTTTATCCCTTCGTATTGCATTTTCTGAGGGGCGAAGGCAAATTTCACTTTTGAAAAACCTCCCTTGAGTCATTTTTATGAGATAATTTGTGTGAGATTGGAGTGTCATGAATTTTTGTCTTTTTTGACCGGCTATCGAATCCAAAAATTCTCGCATGCCAACTCGGACATTTTAATCGCACCGCCATGTTTGTTGGTGGTTACAATAATCGAATTTTCATGATGATTATAGTGAAAGAGTTATTCAGTTATGGGATATTCCATGGTGACTCAGCTACCTCGATTTTTTCTTTTTCATGAATGTTAATTGATACGTTCAATTTCAAGTACTTATACGAAAAAAATTATCTCGGTTTTTTATCATTTTATGCCCCTTAGATTATTAATAAAAGTTGTTCCATAAAAGTGCAATGTTTTTCATTGTTTCTTAAAAAAACAAAATGCACGTTATATATGAAGTTAGTCAGTATATTGGCGGTTTGTAATTTTGGTGGTGGCTTCATTCAATCTTTCAAGATGTCCAAAGGTAAATAATTTTCAATTACTACTTCCATTAATGTTTATTGATATTTTTCTAATAATTCATCTCGATGTATGTAATTGCTTATACGACTTTGCATTTTTTGAAAAGATTCGTTGAAACGTTCCCATGATGAGGCTGTCAGTAGTACATCTTCGTCATCGTCAATCTCTAATGATGCTAATGGAACTACAGGTAAGTTTGTTTTTTTTCTTTCTTGTAATTTATTAATTAATTTATTTATTTGTTTTATCTATTCAGGTGATGATCCCACATTTACCTTGACTCCTTCAACTACCCTCCAAATGTATAATAATGAAATGCAATCTCGGTTGATGTAAGTATTTCAATTTCGATTTATTTTCATTGTTTCATTGCTTATTGTGAAAAGTATGCATTTTATTGTCCTATTATTGTTTCAATTCCTTTATCATCTATCTTTTTTCTTCATGCAATTCATTATAGACCAATTGTTGGAGTCGTTGATCAAATCTTTCCGGGCACTTCTACTGCTGGAGCTGTAGCTAAGACGATTTTTAAATGGACTGTGAATAATGGTGATGGAGAACGTGTTGAATGTGTCGCGTGGAACATCCAAGTTCAACGAATTCAATCTCACATTGTTCTGGGAAATGTAACTATATTTTTTTTACTATCATTTTTTATTAGTAGGGTCAGTTGCACTGAGCAGTAATAGCCATGTGATAGTTTTGTTCTTGCGCACTCTTTATGGACTGAGGAGCCACTGTCTAGTTGTTGAGTTATTAAGAGTTAGTGCAGAAGTTCCATTCATAAAAATAATTTTTTATTATTTATTCTATCACCATTTTTCAATTTTAATATTATTTTGAGATCATTTTTCAGATTAAATAATGTTTTTAACTGTCAAATTTACATTTTTTTCTTGATTTTTAAATTGTAATTCATAATTATCTCCACGATATATGAAAATTTTTCGATTTCATCGCTTTGAAATTAGTCGCGTTTAATATTGTCGTGTTTTTTCGTATATGTATTTACTTAGACTACATGGAAATCATTTTTTCAAATTTTTAATTTTTTCTATTCTATAATTTGGAATAGTATTGTCTTAATATTATGATATTTTCTCAATTCAATAGGTGCTGTTTCTGAATGGAGTTTTCATGAAAGCTGGTAATGTGACATATTTGAATGGGACAGTATTATTTCAGTTAACCGTACAATCTAATACAACGGTACATGTAATGCACCAGTTCGGACCAAATGTACATGAACTCAGAATTTTGAATCAAAATTTGCAATTAATTGAGTTGCCAGATTCGTGTAGTCATCGGAAGTGCATACGTAAGATTGTTGTTCACAATGAATCTAATTATTATATGAAAAAAATTATGCTTCTTTCAACAAATCTACCTCGAGCCCTTTTTTAACTATAGATGATTTTTTTTCCAAAGTCGATTTGAATTTTATTCGAGTTTTTTCTTCATCGACTAAACTACTACTTGATTAGATTCCTATCATTACATTTAAATGAATTTTTCTCAATTTCTCACTAGTGTTTGGTCAATTCTATTCATACTGTTGATAGAAAATAGTTTACGAAAAAAATTATTTGATTGGGCTATTGATTTTTTTTTTCGTAGAATTTTCTCAGTTTGCATTGAAACTGAATAAAAATACCATTGAAAAATTCAATCAATTGTCACGATTGAAAATATTGGATTTGCCTGTTGAAATTTCTTATGGCGGTTTATTTTATGATTTTGAAATGTACATATATAGTTTCTCTAATTTTTAGGTGTACAAGGATTCATCAAGACTAATTTTGCCACGGTTCAAAGAGCTGAAGGTCTCCTATCCTCTTGTTTCGGCGTTATTGGAGTTGATGATTTTTGTTTGGAAATAAAAATTGCACAATTCAAAAGCTCTGATCCTTCCTTTGAGATTGGACAGAATATTGAAATTCAAGGGTTCATTCGCAAAACAAGTGTGTATTATCATCATTATTCATTTTCTTCTTTTCCAATTTTGTAAATTTTGAATATATTATTTTTTTCAGCTGGATTTCCTCCTCAACTAATCGTTCGTTCCTTATCTGATATCACTGTGATCAGTGAGATTGTGAAGGATATCGTATATTTGTGCAAATGTGTGCAATCTCCCATTGATAACACGAAAAAATCACGTCAAGAATAATTTTTGATCATCTTTTTTTTTCCATTTTTATTTTTTTCTAATCAATCGATTTTATCATTCCATTCAATGATATTTTGATCCATTTTCTCTACTGAAATTTTTGGAAAACAATAAATATTGGTATTGGTATTTCTATGGTATTTGTCTTTAAATAGTTGAATATTTAATTGATATTCAACAATCGGATCTCACGTTGCATCTAGAAATCTATTGTTATTAATGTATTGTCGATTGTTCAACTCTTATATTGAGTGATGGAGAGGTAGCTGTAATCTACTGGTAAGGATGTCTTATTCTAGTTCAATAATTACTGTTTCTAATATGCTATAAAAACATCTTTCTCCATAATTTGAATAATGCTTCTAATGGTTAGAAGTGATATTTCCTAGAAAATTATCATCATTTCATATTAATTTCAATCGAAACGTCTGATGATTACAGATTCGTATTTTTTGCCTATAATGTTTATGTTATTTCAGCAAAAGTATTTTTCATTCCGATGGATATTATTGTATAAAGTAGTTGAAAAATCTATATTTCTCTCATTCCATTATTACTTGTACTTATTAATTTGATTTCGTTTATGTCTCTTGTATTGGTCGATTAACTTTCTTAATTAAATTCATTATTTTCAATTTTTCCATATTCTTTCTACAAATTTATCTTATTTATGATTGTATTATTCCATCGAAAATTCTTCTCACAATTTGAAAAATTTTCGCATAATATTTACGTATTCACTTGGTTTTTATTCTTTATGAGGATTGATAATTGAAATATGGAACGACGAAATCTTGAAAAAAAAAAAATCGTCGATATTTTTGTAAATAATTGAAGTAGAAATTATCATTTAAACTATGTTTTTGGTCTACAGTTTTTGATGAAGAATAGAGAATAAACTTTCTAGTTTTGGAATTAATTTTGGTTCACTGAATTCTTCGAGTTATCCATCAATTTTCATTGATTCATACTGGTAATTTCAATATCAATTTCATGCTATGCACACATTTAGATAGAGTATCCGCTACATTCCTTACATATTTCTATTTGAAAATGTCTGAAAAATAATTCAAGGAATGAAAAAAAAAAAATTTCAATTATTTTGGAATTCTCATCTGAAAGTAGAAGTCATGAGTCACTGTTGAATAAAACGAAGAAAGAACGTATGTCAATTCCATATCAAATTGAGGATATTTATTTTTAATAAATATTGAGAGTGGAATAGTTACCCCTGGAAATTTAATTCATTTTCAAAGGTCAGTTCTACTGAGATCTAAGAGATACGTCTCTGTTAATTCGCAGCTAATTGATAAGGTGGGTGCATCAAATTCAACTTTTCATTCCAAATTATTATTGGTTGGTTCAATCAGCAATTTGCATTTATTTTTAAATTTCAATCACTTCAATAATTTCAATTCAAAATTTTTTCTCATAGATGAATTTTTATTCATCTTAATCCGCATTTTCCCGTTTCAATTATCGAGGGAATCCAAGAAATAATTCTGCGTTCTATGGATCTCATCCATATGGGCAAAATCGATTAAAGTATCAATTCTCAAGATATCCAACAAAACCCAACAACAAATATCAATCCTACAGTCCTCGAGAGAAACAATTTGGTAATATATTATTTTTTAATTCAAACTATCTATCTAACATCCACTGCCCAAAATTCAATTTTGAGTATCTATTTCATACTGATTTGTATGATATAAATTAGCCTGAGATTTTCCAAACTTGAAGCATGAATATTACAGCAAAAATGGTTATTATTTGACTATAATTTATTATTTCATTATACGATTTTTTTTGAGCTGTCTAACTGTTGTTATGGAGTTGAATTTTGCTACTTTTTTTTAAATCTTGTCATTTTCAGATAATAGCTTTGTAATTGCGATTTTTGATATTTTCAAAATCAATTTTCACAAATTTATGAAATCCAGGGAATCGTGTAAAATACGTCCATCAAAATGAATTCTCATGAATTCATGAGCCATTTTGAATGTTCTTCTTAGTAAAAATTTTTGTGCATTAGAATATTAAGTAAATTGAGTAAAGATGCGATATTGATTTCCTCTTTTGTTAATATAGAATGGAAGTATAATCCAAAAATTAATTACATCTGTAATTTCTAGGTAATTATGTATATCGTCATTCCAAGGATCGCTATAAACGGAATTCTTTCAAGAATCAACCGAATCGAACTGCTTATCCTCATTCACGAAATGGTCGAACCGACAAGGATGGATCTACTGCTAATAGTTTTTCACGTCGCAACAAAACTAATAAAGAGGGATCTATGGCTGGCACGTCTTCACGTCCTACTGATCGAGATCGTTCTACTAGGAATTCGCATTACAATTTTTATGGACAAAAGAAGCGAATTGAGCAGTTAGAAAAGGAGTTAGAAGTGCTAAAGAAGAAGATCAATCAGAATAAAACCAGAGGCGGTCGCAATTTACATGAGAGGAATCTCAAGTATATTATTTGATGTCTTAATTATTTGAACACAAGCTGATTGAATACAAAAATTACAGGAAATTCTAATGAAATGATTTGAAAGTCCCCCTTTTTTTACTGAATCATTATCTGAAATTTTGATATTTTTTCTTTCAATCTTATTTCCATAATCGAAATTTGATCTCCTTAATTCATTAATTTTTTGATATATTGAGTTTTCATTATTATTATTTTTCAAAATTGAATATCAGATGAGGAATGGTAAACTGAATGATAACCAAAACTTGCCAGTATACTTGACTGAATAATTCTTCATCAATTTTCTTTCCTTTAATGGACAATTCTAGGACAGAAAATTTGTTTTTCAAAATTCTCATAGAATTGGACGACTTCCTACAAATTTAGGGAGAATGTCATCATTTCCCATAACTTTCTGAACGATAAATTCATTGGAAATAATGAATAAAGATTTCGCCATGTAGACATGTCCACTTCACAGCTTATTTGAAACTTTTGGAAAATTCAAAAATTATGTCAGATTTGTTTCAATTTCTTCTAATTTCAGGGAGTTGGTTTTGAAATTTTCAATACATAATCTTTTAAGAGAAAGTTCAAAGAATTGAATTCTATAGAATTGAATTTTACAGAATGAATTCTATCGAATTCTATCAAGTCATATTTTGTTATTTTTTGAAAATCTTTTTATAGCTTTTGTTTCTTTTGTGACTTTTTGTCTTGCATAATAGAGGTATTCACTCATTCCTTAATTTTTTAGGTTTTGGAAGAGTCAATATTTTTTGGCAAGATCAAAGAAAACAATTTGTCCACAATTCACATCTCAGCCCACCGGAAATCATTATTATTTCGATTGCAAATGAAATATTCATCATATCTGAAGCTGATCATAAGGGAACGTCACTATAAATGATGCAATTATTCAATGTCATTGAATTATAATTGAATTATTATCATTATCAATCCAATTACCTATTTGATTTTCTATGGATTATTGAAATAAATACTTTTCAACCCACTTCGATTTAAAAATACATCTATTTTCTAGTAATTTTAGTTAATGTTTAATATTTCTTATTTTGAAATTGAATTATTCTTGTTCAAGTATACGAACAATTTACTGAGTTGACTTTCTTGCATTTAATGCTAAAAAATCAATGGATTTTCGATTTGTATTTGTGATTTCCACGAGACATTTTTTCTATAAAAATGACTGGACATAAATTTCGTAATGACATCCTCTGTAGTAGTTGTACTCTACAAAAATCGTGATCCTTTATTTATCTTTCGGCTTCTCTTATTATTAATTCTCTTCATTTGATTACATTATTCACAATGGACCATTGTATTCCTCCTTTAATAGCAAAATTTTATTTATAAAATATATTTTATAAAGAGAGAATCACTACCATTTTAGATTTCAATTCGGTTTCTCCAAACACATTGATTTGTCTCCCATCATGAACATACCAATCAAAATTATTCAAGTTATGTGAGTCCATATTCGAGTTCAATATGAATGTCTTCCGTGGAATTGCATTTTCAATACACACTAGCTGTAACAATTGAATGATAACATGAATATTTAAATATTGAGATTTTCTTCTTTGTTAAGGATGGTTATTCAAACATGCGAATAGTTGAGACCTTTTTTTTGAATGAATGATGTTATCGGCTTCAATTTTGTACAAATTAAAATGTATTAATTCATGTTTATTATTGAGTAATTGAATAGAGAAAATTTATAAAATGTATGAGAAATCCATTTATTAAATTATAGCTGAGGTATTCCACGCGAACTGGGTCAACCCCTGACCCTCATCCTCTTAAACCATTGACTCATTACATGGGAAATACCTCAGCTACATTGTAGCTACGTAATACATTACGGTTGATTTTTTTTCAAATTAAAAAAGTTACTTTT